TCCAAGGGGGGATCAGTACATGTACAGTCGCATTCTGAACTGCGATTATGAGTTTGTCTCCCCCTGGTGGGATGAAGTGTCTCTCAATGCAAAGGATCTGGTGAGTACTGTGTGCTCACACATCATTATTGTCCTGTTTGTAATGCTGATGATGTTCATGCACTGCTGACTGATTTCAGATGGAATGAGAGAGAACAGTATCTCCATCAAAATATCAACAGCCGACTCAGATGCTGATTTGATTATTCAATCGTCTGAGCTTTTCCGCTCTTTGTTTATTCACCATTAGCTGTTGGTTATGTTTGTTTGATGTTGTCTGTAGGTTAGTAAGCTCATAGTGCTGGACCCTCATAAACGGCTCACAGTGAAACAGGCTCTGGAGCACCCATGGGTGCTTGGAAAAGCAGCACGATTCTCCCACATGGACACAACACAAAGGAAACTACAGGAATTTAATGCTCGGCGCAAATTAAAGGTCAGCCACCAATAGCTATGATAAATAAAAGTGTCTACAATAAAGAAAAAGAAAACCTTTAAAAAATGTAGTCTACTGTTGAGATTTTAGAAATGTCCTCTTTGTGTTCAAGATGTTTGTATATAATTTTAATTTTAATAAAAGTTATAATTCAACTTTTTAATAACTTTTTACTTTTATAAGTGTATATCTTAATCTTTAAATATATTTATCAAGGTAAAAATATTGGAAATTATTAATTCATGAATATGTATAATGACTGACATTTTATGTTTTTTAATGTAAACAAATGACTTTGATTTGGTGGACAAAAGTATTATTATTTTTGTAATTAATTAATTGTAATAATTAAATATTAATAGGCATTGAAGCAGTTTTGTTAAAATGTTCTCTTTTTAATAAATTATAAAATATTATGCATATAACTACTTAAAGGGATAGTTCACCCGAAAATGACAATTCTGTTATCATTTACTTACCCTCATGTCATTGCAAACCGATAAGACCCATAAGACTTTAATCTTTGAAAGACAAATTAAGATTTTTTTCAATTAAACCTGGAAGGGTTCCATCCCTCCATTGAAAGTCCAGGTAAGCATAGCTTAGAAGATCCAAAAAGGTCATAAATCCAAATGAACTGAGCCTAAATGAAATCTGATCATCATATAAAGTAATCATATCTCTTCACAAGACTTTTATTAAACAACACAATTCATATGGATTTGTTTATGATGTCTTCATGACCTTTGTAGCTTCCTTGGGATTTCAATTTAGATACAGAATTGTTTTAGGTTTCATTAAAAATATTAATATATAATTTGTGTTTCGAAGATTAACCAAAGTCCTATGGGTTTGCGAAGACATGAGGATGAGTAATTTTCATTTTTGGGTGAACTGTCCCTTTAAACATTTCTTTTCATTACTCTCATTATTTTAATGGGGCTTTTTTTTCCATTATGATATCAAGACAGTCGTGTCAAGCTGAATTTTTTGGCTTTATGCATCAAAATCAATTTAAAAACATGATGTGTGTTCAAGCCATTGTGAGCACGAATTGCATTTTTTATGTATTTTTGAATAAATTAATATATAGGGCAAAAAATGATGCCATTGATATTTAAAGCGGTATTTCACCCAAAAATGAAAATTCTGTCATCATTTACTTACCCTCGGTTTGTTCCAAACTGACTGTGGAACATAAAATAGGATATTTTGAAGAATGCTGGCAACCATTGACTTTCAATATATAGGGAAAAAAAATACTATGGAAGTCAATGGCTACCGTAAACTGTTTGGTTGCACGCGTTCTTCAGATGTCTTCTTTTGAGTTCATCGGAAGAAAGTAACTCATACAGGTTTGGAACAACTTGAGAATGAGTAAATGATGACAGAATTTTCATTTTGGCATCAAATGTTGTTCAGTGTAGCACATTATGCTGTGATTTTTGTGCTTTTTACGAGCATTCTACTGAACCAGCGCACAGTAATCATGAGTTATTCCGTCCACAGGCTGCTATGAAAGCTGTGGTCGCCACAAGCCGGATGCACGAGGGCTCACGACGGCGGACAGACAGCTGCGAGATGCCCAACGCCGACAAGACCTCACGCCAGAGCAGCATACAGAAGGACAACACGCTGGATTCTCAAAGAGAGCCCATTCCCATTAAAGAGGGATCTGAGCAGGTTGAAGATGGGGCCCAGAGTCCCTCGAGTCCCCCCGTCCACCCTACCCATAAATCGAAACCTTCTGGCCCCCCCGGGCCCATGCCCACTCGCCCACCCCTGATAGCAGAGGGACACAGGCAGACCTCCGTCCTTCCGAAGGCTCCAGTGGTTCGGCCCAGGGTTCCCAAGAAGAGCTGCTCAGTGGATCCCGGAGGCAAACACGAGCCTTCGCCAGCGAGCACCACCCCACCCAGTCCCAAGAACCTCAGTAATGGCTTCACCATGAGTGTGGAGGCGAGCGGAAGCACGGCAGAATGTCAGTAGCCTGGATGATCTATAGATCTGGATTCACGCGGAAGACAAAGGAGGACAAAAACGATGCTTTGACAACACACTGAGAATTTCCTCTTCTCCTCTTCCATTTTTGCCATGGGATATTTTGATACTGGACTGACATATGATGAGCTCTTCATATGGAGGCATGTAGCTTTCGTGGCAACTTTAGGTTAGCGGCACAGTGAACATTGTCGTTTTTCTCTTTGCACAAGCATTGTGAATAAGATTGTCTCTCATCTAAACTGAAATTCATTTTGCTCTTTTCTTCTATCATATGCAACTGTTCACACAATCCTATTCTCTCTCTAAAGGTAGTGAGGATCATGTATCTGTGATGTTGTGATAGTATATATTTGTTTAGGAATGATTGCTAAAAGACCCTAAAAATTGTATTGCATACACTATTCATAAATGAATATATATATATATAGATAAATATATATATAAAATGTATCTTTATATGTCTTTCCCCTGTTTTAATTCAGACTTTTTGTATTAGCACATTACAAAAAAATGCTCCGATGGTTTGTAAAAGCTCTAAGATATGACGTAATGCCACAGTCACGGATGTTTTTCCCGGCTCATCTTTGGCGGTTTATCGCCCATCAAATCGAATTGATGTCATTCAGGGTTACCACCCCCTTCTTCTCTCTTCAAGACCTGGGAAGGTTTTGCTGAAATTCGCACCTAAACTGCCACTGTACTATAAGAAATCTTCTCTATGAGGTGGAATTAATACAGCTAGTACGCTTCAGCCACACTGTCTACCTCTTCTACTGTACAGGGGCTTCCAACTTCTCAAATAGGAAATTCTGTAGAGATCTACTCTTAGGATAGAAGGCATGGAAGAATATTTTTTCAATGTTGAATGTCGAAGGGCTGTTTTTTGTGAACTTTATGTAGGCTAAATTTATCTGCCTCTATGAACATGTAACAGCATTGTGAAATGTTTCGGTATATAATATAGTTGCTTCTGTCATTCTACTTTATTTCGATCTTTGCCAAACAAGAATGCTTTGTACATACTGCTGACATAAACAGTAGCCTAATTAGACATCACTGGAACATTATGGTTATGTATGAATAATATTACTATTTTGCAGTTGAGCTAAATCACAGAATTCTGTGTTCAATTGCAAGCCGGTGTAGATGCTATTTATGTTTGAGCAGAAGTTTCCATGTTTCCAAGATTAATAAATTGTGCTATCAGATGCTTTCTACTTTTTGAAGTGAGTTTATATGCTTTTTGGTAGCTCATGCTGACCGCGACAATTTTTGCTATAGTACACATCGATCAATTTTTGAAGCCGCATAGCGAAATTTTCTGTTGGTTTTCTGCTTAAGTCTAAGAAAGGCTATGTATTGACCAGAATGTTTTTAATATTATTTCTAATTGGCAGCATAAAAAAAAGTAAAGACACTGAATCTATAAGCCAGTGTAAGAAAAAAGAAAACAACAATGCACATTATTTACTTTTTCCTGACATGCTATAATAATAGTTCAACTGATGTTACTTCTGAGTGTCACAAGTTTTGGTCATAAAAAAAATAGTATAATTTTATATTATAAAATTTATAGAATTAAATAGTTTAATTTTACATTAGTATAATATATATATTATACTAATTTAAAATTAAACTATTTTATTCTATAAATTATACTATTTTTTATGACCAAAACAGAATGCTTTGTACATACTGCTGACATAAACAGTAGCCTAATTAGACATCACTGGAACATTATGGTTATGTATGAATAATATTACTATTTTGCAGTTGAGCTAAATCACAGAATTCTGTGTTCAATTGCAAGCCGGTGTAGATGCTATTTATGTTTGAGCAGAAGTTTCCATGTTTCCAAGATTAATAAATTGTGCTATCAGATGCTTTCTACTTTTTGAAGTGAGTTTATATGCTTTTTGGTAGCTCATGCTGACCGCGACAATTTTTGCTATAGTACACATCGATCAATTTTTGAAGCCGCATAGCGAAATTTTCTGTTGGTTTTCTGCTTAAGTCTAAGAAAGGCTATGTATTGACCAGAATGTTTTTAATATTATTTCTAATTGGCAGCATAAAAAAAAGTAAAGACACTGAATCTATAAGCCAGTGTAAGAAAAAAGAAAACAACAATGCACATTATTTACTTTTTCCTGACATGCTATAATAATAGTTCAACTGATGTTACTTCTGAGTGTCACAAGTTTTGGTCATAAAAAAAATAGTATAATTTTATATTATAAAATTTATAGAATTAAATAGTTTAATTTTACATTAGTATAATATATATATTATACTAAT